CTCTCTCTCTCTCTCTCTCTCTCTCTCTCTCTCTCTCTCTCTCTCTCTCCCCTCCCTTTCTTTCTTTCTTTCTTTTCTCCCAAGACAGGGTTTCTCTGTGAAACAGTCCTGGCTGTCCTGGAACTCACTCTGGAGAATAGGCTGGCTTCAAACTCACAGACTCTTGCCTGCCTTTGCCTCCTGAGTGCTGGGATTAAAGGCATTCACCACCAGAGCTCTAGTTTCTGAATACTACTCTCCCAAGGGATTTTTCAGGAGCAAGACAAGGTGCCCACAGAAGGCCTGCACCACTGCATCCTGCCTAAGGGGAAAGAAGGCATTTGGAGAACACAATACACTTCCCCACACTTCTCTCAGCCGAGGAGCTGGCCTAGCCAGGGAGGGAGCACCCTTCTATTAAGGCACCTTGCCAAGGGCTCCCTTGCAGCCCTGCAGGGAACAGTGTCACTGAGGGCTCCCCTGTGAAGTCAGGGGTCTTGTTTGGCCTGCAGGAGGGGGGGGGGCACAGGCTCCCACCAGCCTTGCCACACAAGCAGCAGCCAGTACCTCTCTCCCTGCGGGAACCGTGACAGAGCCCCTAACACAACTTATGAATTTTACAACTGGTGCAGCATCGGAAGCTGCACTCCTGGGGGTGAGAGCAGCGGAGCCTTCGGAGAGGGGCGGAAACACTGACAAATGCCACTTCTCTCAGTGGAAGATGGCAAAATAGGATGGCTGTCATGGCCGTGTCATCCTCCCCCGACCACAAGCTTCCAGAAAGACGTTTTGTGAAGCGGCTTGTTCTTTTGCGATCGATGTAGTAGCAGAGGAGGCTTGCTGCTACTTTTATATCCCCAGTGTTTCTGCTTCCTGGATTCTTGCCAGAATGCGCTGTCCTCTAACTCTGCTAATGTCTAGGTTTCAATTTATATTCTTTTTCTCTACTGTGACCCTCCCCCAGCATGTTACTGTTTCAGTGGGGCTCTGGAGAAGGCCTCCAGCTAGTGAAGCTTATGTCGGGGCCTGAGCCCAAACAAGCTGTACCCTAGAGTCAATTGCAACCCCACCCTCAATACCATCTTCACGAGGGCGCAACATCCCTCTAAATAGGACAAATAGGCCCCCTAGAAATGGTAGTTTAGGGCCAAGGGAGATTCCTCCATTGAGGATCTGAGTTCTTTTTCTATTTTATTATATCCATTTTCAGTTTTCCAATTTCACAGGCATGTGTGGCTATATGCATGTTTGTATGTATGGGCCTATCAATACACGTGCACAGGTGTGAGTGTGTATGTGTGTGCATGTAGAGGCCCAGGGTTGATGTTAGAATCATCCTAAAGGCTCTTCTAGCCTATTCATTGAGGCAGGGCTCTCAATCAAACCCAGAGCTTGCCCATATGGCTAGTCTTACTAGCTGGCTTGATTTGGGGATGCCCAGTCTCTGCCATTCAGGGACACACTGATCTAAGGGCTTCCTTTTGCCTTCCGCACTGTTGCCCAGTTCAGGGAGTGACGTAACCACCTTCTGACTACCGGCCCTGGGCAGCTAGGCTCTGACACAAGGAGAGGGATACTCACTGTCCTCGTGGGTCCACACAAGCTGAGGCGAGCTCGGAGGCCCATCCCCCGGGGTGGTGAAGCACAGGACTGATGTGAAGTAGGCTGTGAACTTCTTCAAGTTCGTTATGTACCCGTGGTGGATTCCGTGGAAGTCGGGCGCAATAGTGATGACAGTGACAATCTCAGGGGCATCTGCTGGCCATGCCAGAAGCTGGTAGGGAAAGAGTTAAAGAAAAGACCCCTTTCAATTGCATTTATTTACTTAACTGTCTATCAAAACTTTAGTTTACAATTAGTATGTCTTTAAAGAAAGCATAGTCACAATTCAATAAGTCTATAAATCCCACATCGTTTTTTCTTTCTCATATTTGGGGATAAAACCCAGAGCTTTAGGCAAGCACTCTACCCCAGCCCCTCAATGTGGTATTCTAGTCAGGTGCTCTACCACTGAGCCACACCCCAGCCCCTCACTGGGGGATTCTAG